TAACAGGATTCACTAGAAATTATTCGCAGAATTTTCTTGGAATACTCCCCAGAAATTCTTTGGGACTGTCCTCAGAATTCAATATCCTTGAGGATCTTGTCGGATTTTTTTAGAACGCTCCTAAGAGCTCTTTTGAAATTCTTCTCAGAAGTCCACTGGAATTATATTTATAATTCTTTATGATTTTTTCTCAGAACACCTTGGAACTGAATGCGCTAGAAATTTTCCTCGGAATTCGCTTGAAATTTTGCTTAAAATCCCTTTGGAATTTCACTCAAAATATGATTTTCTCGGTATTCTTTTCGAAATTATCTTCGAACTATCTGTAGGATGTACTAGAAATTATCCGCAGAATTTTCTTTGAATTCTCTCCAGATATATTTCGGAACTGTCCTAGGAATTCAATATCATTGAGGTTCTTCTCGGAATATTTTAGAACATCCCTTTGGAATTTCATTCAAAATTGGATTCTCTCGGTATTCTCTTCGAAATTATCTTGGAACTATCTACAGTATTCACTAGAAACTATTCGCAGAATTTTCATGGAATCATCCCCAGAAATCATTTCTTTTGGAACTTGTCTTCAGAATTCAATACCCTTGAGATTCTTCTCGGAAATCAAGTTTAAGTTGTCCGTCCATTCACCAAAACGTTGTAGTTTTCCTACCAGAAATGTTCAATAAAGCTTGCCCCTCTAATCACCAGAACTGTGCAATTTTTACATCAGGAATTTTCAATTCAGCTAGCGCCTCCATGCAGCAGATTTTTGCATCAGAAATTTCAATACAACTTGTCCCAGATCATTTTACACTAGAAAATTTCAATTGACTAGAACGATGCAAATTTTCCATCGTTAATGTTCAATAAAAACTGTTCTCCAATATTCTGATTGGTGCAGATATCCTTTTTCCATTTTCCACCAGACATTTTCAATATAGCTTGCTTCTCCTATCATCAGAATATTGCAGGTTTTCCACCAAATAAAGCTTGCCCTTATTTTTAGATTTTTCAACATAAATTTTCAGTTAAGCAGCTTCCCTCCAATCATCAGAATGGTGAAAATTTTACACCAGAAATTATTATTAAAGTTTGTTCCTCTATTGAGCAAAAGGATGCAAATTTGAGACCAAACATTTTCCGAAAAGCTTGCCTATCCGTTCACCAGAACGGTGCAGATTTTCCTCCAGAAGTTTTCAATATAGCGTAATTAAAAAAAGCTTGTGCCTTCATTAACCAGACCAGTGCAAGTTTTCCACCAGAAATGTTCTGTTCATTTCATTTATCAGAGCGATACAAATGTTGCACCAGAAATTTTCAATAAAACATGCTCCTCCATTCACCAGAACGGTGCACCAAAAATTATCAGTGAAGTTTGTTTCACCATGCACCTTTGTGGTGCAATTTACAGGCTTTGCCTCTTCATGCAAATTTTCAACCATAAATTTTCAATGAAGCTTGCATTTATCAGAACGATGCAAATTATGCACCAGAAACATGAATAAACCTTGCTTCTACATTCTTCACAGTGTTGCGAACGTTCCACCAGAAATTTTAAGTTAAATGTGCACCTCCAAATGTTTTGCGTGATTCATTGATGATATTTTTACACCAGAATTATTCAATAAAAAGCTTTTTCTACGATTCACCACCACGAAGGTGAATTTTTTCAAACTTAAATTTACCCTCTTATTTTAACCCTCCATTGAAAAAAAAAAATTACGCCATAATTTTTTTGTATGCGCCACTGGGGTGCAATTTTTTGACCAAAAAAATTTCATTGAAGTTTGTCCCTTCATGCACCTTTGTGGTGCAATTTTCAGTCACCATCTCAAAGGAATTGACGCAATAAAAGGTTTTCAGTGCCCTTATAGTATGAAATCAAGACCAAGAATTGAAAAGGCCTCAACTCCATTTTGTAAACAAACCTTGTAAGGCCATTTGGTCGCAAACCGAAATCCGCCAACGCAAACCAACAAAATGAACAGGTAGGGGAAATTCTCATCTACCCGATTGTGTCTTAGGTTTGCGAATGTAGATTTTGGTTCGCGAGAAAATGGCCTTACAAGGTTTGTTTACAAAATGGAGTTGTGGCCTTTTCAATTGTTGGTCTTTAAATGAAGTTATTTACCTTAAAATCAAGTTATCAAGAAATCAAGTTATTTCATATAATAATTTGGAAATTTGGAAATAAACATCTTATTGATAAAAGGAGGGGCAATTGCCCCACCTTGCCCCACCCTGTGCACGCTAGTTATTGTTATATAAAGAATAGCTCGGTTTTTCTTGAGCACTTCGTAACTGTTCGATTCATGTTCCCTGACAGTGGGACTTTCCTAAGTTAGCGTAAATAATTGCAATTGAAACTATGGCTAAAAATTCCTTCTTCCGCCTAAGCCACTGGCGATCAGCAATTAGATCTATTGTGGTATAAATGTTCCTAAGTGATAGAAGTGTTCCCCATGGTATTGACATTTGCTTTAACAGAAACAAATCATAATTGGATCTTTTAAGCATTACTGGTACATTTGCGCCATTTTTACTTGAATCATCCCATCTTCAGCAAGTCAATGAAACGAGCTAGCCCACCGTCGTCTTTACACCCACGCTTCTAACATCAAGATTTCTTCCCATTCCCGAAAATCAGCATGCTAAAATAACACGTGTGGGCTTTGATTTGCTGCGACCCCAAATCACACACACGCGCCCGATCCTCAGCAACACGGAGAAGCCGAAAGATCATTACGGCGTCACTTCTGTACTACCCTGGCCGATTTCTATGCCGTCTAATGAATTGGAGAAATTAAGTCCGCCTCAAGCGTGAACGTCAAGAATCGCACCCACTTCCAACCGGAGGAGTCCACCGGAGTACTTTCCGTCGAAGTTGGCTCCACGGCTCAGCGCCGGGGTGGAATACTAATTATTTATTTATGTAAATACGTTTTAATCAGCCATCAATCGATAATTACCGATTCGATACGCAACTCGGACTTTTGCACAGGTTGGTTGGTCGCTGCTATTCAGCTAGTCAGCAGTTTTGAGCCCGGGTGGAAATCGAGGCAAAGTGGATAATAAATTATATTTTTACGATCCGTTTCCTTCCTATTTTGGTCGGGCACACGGAGGTACGATTGGGTGATAAGCGACTTCCCTGCATTCTCTGGGCTGATATTGGCTTACCCTCCGAACGACGGGGGTCCCGGAATTAGTCTAAATCAGTTATGTTTTAAGCATTTCAGTGTCATGCATCAAGTGACTTCTGGCTACAAGTGACGAACCTGAAGTTTTCATTACCTGCTCAAAAATCGCGAATGCGTTTTCGGTGTTAGACGGCGGATGTTTTTCGCGGAACTTTCGCCATAACTCTTCGCTTCGGTCGAGCCGGTCATGGACGTCGTTCCACGCACAGCACCATCCGTCCTCCGTGTGATGACTTGTGCGTAGGCGTAGGTGACGACCTGCCTGTGGCGAAAGAATCTTCACATCTCGCTGGGCTGGGCTGGGTTCCGCGCTCTCAAGACTGCTCGCAATAAATAAGCCAATAAATTAAATGTAATTAGTCTTTCCAGTCGCGGCGAGCGTCCGTCTTTCGTAGTTGCGTCTGCTTTCGGTTCGCGAACCGCGCAGTCAAGAATAAATTATTGTGCTGTCCATTCCAGTGTGGTTACCCTTCGTGAAGCCGCAATCCATCCCCCTCCCGCCCCCTGAGAGGGGGTGCCAATCTCCGAAGCTGCCAGGCGAAAACGCATTTTCTGTCACCGATTGGCAGAAATCCGGAGAAGGGGATGAATTATTAATAGGACCAATGGCTTCTTATGATTGGACGGAAGGGTGGGACGCAATTTGTCGATGGGGTATGCGCATTCAATTGATCCATTGACTAGGCGAATTCACGCACGTTTCCATGGGGCGGTGGTGGATTTTTAATTTTTATGACATCGGTTGCCCAATTGGGGAAGGAATATGTTGATATGATTGTTCAATTCACCGGAACGCCTTATTGGATGGCTGTTCGGATTCCTGTCGGGCGGTGACAACGGAATACTAAGCAGGGAAGTTGAAATAAAATGGCTGCGTTCCAGCAGAAACCCTTAGTACCGATGGGATGTGTGTTGAGGATAGTTTACGCTGGTGATCTTCTTGGAATTCAATGGACTTCCGGTCCCAATGTATTGTTTTTGCGAAAGTTGTCTTTGTTGGCACCTGCAAAAGATAAGATCGTAAAAAATGGCAATACATAACGCAATTTTCGAAATAACTCGTCCAATCAACTAGCTTTCACGAACCACATTTGTAAATTATCTAACAAAAGAAAATCCTTTCACACACGACCGGGAAGATTATGGCCGATATGTGAAAGGTTTTTTGGATGGCCCACATCGGCCCAGATCTGCAAACCGACACCCCAATCGCGTCAATCGCGGCTCCTCACGTAATCATCATCAGCATCATCGTCATCGCCATCATCAATCTTGCTTATCTCCGGAACAAGATCATCCTTCGTCTTAGGAGCATGCTGATAACACACATTCCATTACTCATCCGCCGTCTCCTTCCCCGTCGACGTCGATTGGCATTCTCCTGTTGTCAAAATTTTCGACGATCGGTCAATATTTACCGATCGACCATCGAACAAAAACAGTTTCAGAAACAGAATCCGCGCGGCGCGGGCCTCGGCCATCGAGAGAGAGACAGAGAGGAAATTGCACAACTTGTTACTGTCAAAATTTCTGACAGCTGCTCAATGGTAGCGTATAACCTTTCGCGCCTCGCGCTGCCAATAATCGGCCCCCACACCCCATGGGGTCTAATATATTTCAGCACTTTATAAGATGTTTGTTTTATCACAACTTTGTACAACAACAACCACCACCACACCGAAACGGCGGAAGGCACACGGAGCAAGAAAAAAAATACGAATTCGCTTGAAGAAATCCTCAATCCGGCCCCAATGATAAAACATTAATAAAAAGTGAGATTTTAAAGGCATCCCAAAACAAATAATGGACGATCGGGACCGTGGGGAGGAAGACAGGGTGGGTGAATGGCTGAATGGGACACGCGAAGAAAACATGCGGCCAAGCAGCGAGCGCGCCCCCTCGACGTCGGACAAGAAAGAGTTGTTAAGCGAAGTAACGAAATCTTTTGCGGGCGCTGTCGCTTGCGGTAGTGGCCTGAGAAGAGATAAGCCAAGGTGGCACGAGGCGTGGGAGGAGCAGGAGGGTCGGGGACAAGGGCCAGAAAAAAAAATGCATCATGTTGGCAAGCGGACGCGTGCCAATTTTTCGGGGGTTTAGCAGCAGATCCGTTGCCTTTCTCCACAGGCAGTCGGTCATAAGTTTCAAAGTTAATTTCAATTTCGATGTTTTTCGAATGGTACAATGGGTTGAACGTTATTTGACTGAATGACGGACATCAACTATGGTTTTGGCACAAAACAATTTTCATGTAACGTCTTCGTAATGTCGATGCTTTGGATAAATCAAATTGTTGATACAACTTTTGATGCAGGCGACGCCAGCAGAAGCCATTTTATAGTTTCTCAAAGACTCCGAAGGCTCTTCGGTTGACTTTTTGTAAATTTCACGATTGATGGGCTTTATAACGGTTTAGGTTATCGGAAGTATAGCTTAGCTTTGCTTACACTGACTGCACATATCTTCTTTCTCGCATTTCAAGCATGTTGCATATCGCATATTAGCTTATTGCGTGCTCTCAACTTAGTGTTCTACACAGCAAAAAAATAATTTTGATATCACATCAAAGTGGATGCACTACAATCATGTCGAAAATTTCATGTAATTTTTATGACCACATAAATAAACAAATGCAGTAAAAGCAGCGTAATAACAGTTCATGCATTGTATTAATGATAATTTTGTCCTTTTTAGCAAGTAATATTACACCATATTTTCGACATGATTGTAGTGCATCCACTTTGACGTGATATCAAAATTATTTTTTTGCTGTGTAGATGCTCTGCCAAAGTTATTAATTAAGAGATATCGATGCCTGTACCATTTTTCCATTAGTATAATTGTGTGGCAAGTTCAATCATATGCCCAGAGAGGACGAGAAATTTTCCTGCACCGGGAATCGAACCCAGCCACCTCCAGCATGGTCTTGATTTGTACCTGCGCCTTTACCGATTGAGTTAAGGAAGGCTGACTGCACATATCAAAGGTTCCTACTCCACTGATACTCTCTTCAACAACGATCTATGTAAGAAGCTTTGCTGTGATCTTGAACAAATCTTATTTACGTGAATCGGTCCGTGGAATTGGATACACGGAAATTTGTCTTTGGATACGGCAAAAAGAACGAAGGAATGCACAGCTATCGGAAGAATTTGTCTGGATCCACAAGTGCTCCATTCGGGATGGATATTCTTGTTCAGCAGCTTCATGTTCAACCAGAGATGGTGGAAGCTCACAGGACGTGGACACCAAATGAGTATGACAGTCCTCGTAATATTTCCGGAATATAATCGCAGAACAGCAGAGATAATTTTTTCAGTTGAATTTGCTTCAACCTACAAGAGATTCAACGAAAAAAAAGCGTCAGTTCAATTAAATTATTAAATCCTGGGAGTTTGAGCCACCTCAAGGAACGCCAGTTCACTCGGGATACGGTAGCCGACTTTGAACTGCACTGCAAAATTCTGCTGGCATAAAGGGTGATACGGTCAAAATTTGGTCAATATCAACTTGACGTATTTCTTTCAATTTTGCATTTAAAAAACCTTAACACCCCTCATTTTGAAGGTGTTTGTGTGTAGAATGTTGCTCCTATTTTGATTTTGGAATTCACTCTTCAGTTGTCAAAATGCCGTCCAAGCAAGAAGAGCAGCGTATCAAAATTTTGCTCGCGCATCGCGAAAATCCGAGCTACTCGCACGCAAAGTTGGCAAAATCGCTAAAAGTTGCCAAATCAACCGTTACAAATGTAATTAAAGTGTTTGGGGAACGTTTGTCGACAGCCAGGAAGTCTGGATCGGGGGGAAATCGAAAACCGGAAGCCGCTGAGACGACAAAGAGAGTTGCCGGTAGTTTCAAGCGAAACCCTAACCTCTCTCTCCGAGATGCCGCAAATAAGCTGGGTGTATCGTCTACAACCGTGCATCGAGCCAAAAAACGAGCCGGACTATCGACTTACAAGAAGGTAGTGACTCCAAATCGCGATGATAAACAAAATACGACGGCCAAAGCGCGATCCCGGAGGCTGTACACGACGATGCTGACGAAGTTTGACTGCGTGGTAATGGACGACGAAACCTACGTCAAAGCCGACTACAAGCAGCTTCCGGAACAGGAGTTTTATACGGCAAAAGGAAGGGGAAAGGTAGCAAATGTTTTCAAGCACATGAAACTGTCAAAGTTCGCAAAGAAATATCTGGTTTGGCAAGCCATCTGTACCTGTGGCTTGAAAAGCAGCATTTTCATAGCTTCCGGGACTGTCAACCAAGAAATTTACGTGAAAGAGTGTTTGAATAAACGTCTGCTGCCTTTCCTGAAGAAACACGGTTGTTCCGTACTGTTTTGGCCGGATTTGGCATCTTGCCATTACGGTAAAAAGGCCATGGAGTGGTACGCCGCCAACAACGTGCAGGTGGTTCCCAAGGACAAGAACCCTCCCAACACGCCAGAGCTCCGCCCAATTGAGAAATACTGGGCTATTGTCAAGCGGAACCTAAAGAAGACCAAAAAAACTGCTAAGGGCGAGCAGCAGTTCAAGGCAAACTGGCTTTCTGCGGCGAAGAAGGTGGACAAGGTGGCTGTACAAAATCTGATGGCAGGGGTCAAGCGTAAGGCCCGGCAATTCGGATTTGGAAAAGCGGAAGCCCAACTGAATATTTTTCCAGAATTTTATACTAATTGAACTTGAAAAAGAAATTTAATTTGATTTTTTAAATAAACGATTTCACCGATTTACACGCGTTTTCCCTTGACCAAATTTTGACCGTATCACCCTTTATAACAAACTCGAACCGTTGAATGCCAATATGCCAGTCCTTCGAATACTGATAAAATTATCGCAATCAAGTTGGGTACGATGTTGCCCAGTGATGTAATTACCGCCAGAGCCAACGGAATCAAAATTCAGCTGTCCAACATCTACAAATACTATTGCGAATGTCAGCTGCGCTTAGCATGCTGTATCCCGTAAACCGAAAACAGGATCGCCACATGGCCTGGTGCTACTGCTTGTCGGTGGATTGGTGTTAAGCCCGCGGGCCGGACGTGATCTCCGGATCTCAGAAATAGTGTCATTCTAGTCCAATTTTATTCATCATACTGAATTTCAGCCCATCGTGAATGAGAAAGAAACAAAATGCAGCTTGCAACATGTTCATCAAAAATAGATGCATCCATTTAAAACAGTAGAAGGGTCTGTGCTTAGGGGCACGAACGGAAGCTTGACGTAGGACCGCTAGTAGACGGAACAAATGTGAACATTTAGTTCCTTTAATTGATCAATCATCAATTATCTAAACTCTTTCCGTTTTTATTTGTAAGCGTATCAAATTTGTAGTATTTATTTCAAAGAGAAAGTTGATGAAGAGAATCCAAGGAACTTTCAACTTGAGTATTTTCGATTCATCTACCCGACTTTAAAAGGTGTATTTTGAGTTTTTTGTTATTTATAAATTTTTAAAGTTTTGTGCATTTTGGTATTAAAGTGTATTGAATTCACAGGATTTCCTTCCGAATTATATGAAAGGGGCGGGGCGGAAAATATCGTTTGTGCAGAATAGGTAAAAAAGGAGGGACTTCGAGAGATTAAACTCGTGAGAACTAATTTTCTCACAAATTTGATTTTATTGGCTTTCTGGGGACTGAATATACACCCAAAGCGAATTATTCCCACTTCTCACAAATTCTGTTCCCATGCTATACAGTGTGATAATTCAATAATCAATAAATTATCTCAACATTTAGTGGCAAACCATTCATAAATTTTGGTAACATAAAAAAAAATTTATAGTCCACATTAAATTTCATATGTAAGCGCCGATTGAAACACTCTTTTCGACATCACTACAATGGTGATTGATTAAACGAAAGAAACGAATCGTGCGGAATGAGCCGAGGAAAAACTAATTGCTCCAATATATTCAGGCCTACAATTCCATACCTTCTATAGACAGGTTGAGCCTTGATAGCTAGCTGCTTGCGGGAGCTGATGTCCTTGACCAATGTCCAAATAATACTCTTTAACAATTTTTTGGTGGCCCTGAAAAGGACCGTTTTGTAGTGATGGTTGAGTAATTCTGAGCTGGGTACTCAATACGGATGAGGCTGTCGAGCTGTATGTCGTTTGGAGCGAGGGTGACACGCTTGGCATAGATGACCGACCCGCAGCGACTCACGAAGAGTTACTGATTCCGATCCATAGCATAGCGGTGCAGCTTCTTCCTCCTTTGATGGTTGCTTATGTGGGCTCTGCAGCTCGCTGCTTGCAGGCAGCCTTTCGTTGTTACTGGAGAACAATTTTCAACGCCACACGCCGAAAGCACTGCTACTGCTGCTACTAATTTCGACGACCGAACACCACCACACAATGGTGTGGTCGTTGGGAGCGTGTGGTTCTGAGTATGGCGATGAGTGTGCAAAATATTACGCAATTCCATCCTCCCTATTCGCACGCGCCCGAAGATCGGAAGCGAATGCCACTTCGACTTGTTTCGTCCACTTACTACTCTCTGACGACTGTGCTGGGGAAGCAGCATATGCATGTAGGTAATTGGTGGATTTGTTAGTTAATTCGACGCTTTTGGACAATGCTGGACATTTCCCAGTTTTTCAATAGTTTCTTGTTAAAAATCAACATTCGGAAGCATTGTTATCGATGCGTAGCCATATTTTTGATCGATTGGTGATAAAATTATTGAAATTGGTCCAGGGGAAGCTGAGTTATTAACGTTCAAAATCTTTCTTAATTTGTTACATGTTCCATTTTCGGTTTTCACAAAGTGTACCCCCATATAGAAATCAAAGACGTAGTCCTACGTCAAAAGCAAGTTTTGAAAGGTTGGGCAGGCCTGATCTAGAAGCTACCAGCGAAATTTTCTATCCGTATTCAGAAATGCCTGATACTAAGGACGGTCTTGGTGGCGATTTTACCGAACTGCATTGATTCGCAAGAGTGGCAGACATTGGACGGACGAATCAAGCTCGAGTAGACTCTATGCCCTGGGGAAGTCACGAAATTTTTCAACCCGT